CTGTAGTTGCAGGTACTCAGGAGGCTGAGGCAAGAGAATCACTTGGACCTGGGAGGCAGAGGTTGCAGTGAGCCAAGATCGTGCCACTGCACTCTAGCCTGGACAACAAAGAGAGACTGTTTCAAAAAATAAAAATAAAAAGTCCTAACTTTATCTGAGAAATGTGAACATTTTCCAACCAGTCCCAAAGTTTGATGACCACCACTGACGACACACGTTTCTCCTTAGTCTCATACCGATCATTTGGGCTCACACTTAACTTAATTTCCTTGAAACAGTCGCTAAACTTGCAGATGCAACCGGAGTCAGCCTCCTCCCCATGAGAACCCTTCATGTGCCTGCAAGCAGCAATCACACCAACCTCTGCCTTTCAGGAAGCTTCCTGCTCCCAAACCTGCACTTTGTAGGGGCCCCACAGAGCTCATGACATGTTCTGGTGGGAAGAGCTGCTCAAGAGGCAAGTGGTCTTGCCATTAAAAAAATGAATCATGAGCACAAGTTGACACGAGAATCCTGCCGTTCAGACAATTACCCAAAGAACACATTTTTTGATAATTACAGAGCTAAAATTGGATCCACTTTGAAAATCCCTTCCTTTCTCCCAAGAAAGCTGAGGAGGTGGTTTAACAACAATCAGCTGCTGAGATGCATCACATTCTAGGGTGTTTAGGAGGCTAGTTCCAAGAAATTCTTGGAAGGTGCAGTTCCCAGAAGGTGGTGCTGCTAACTAGACCCATTAACCTGCCCCACCATCCCCTACATGTGCTCACAGCTTGGGAATCGGAACTCAGAAGCCCATGCAAAATGAGAGAGACAGGAGGGAGGAGGCCCAGGCTGGCCCACCTTGTGATGCTGCTCAAACATTAAATGGCATTAAGAAAATGAGAGGGGATGCTAAGAGGGGGTACAGCCAGCCAAGGATTAGCTTGATCAGCCTCAGCACCAAGGGTGTGCATAGGGATGTTATAAAGGGTTTTAGGTAGGAGTTAAGGGTTAGGATGATAATGATATTTAATATGTATTGCACACTTATGAGCCAGATATATTACCTCACTTAATTCTCACACACCTCTGTGAGTATGGTACTGTTAATTTTACCCCAGTTTAGTCACACTGAGGCACACACTGTGGGTTACATAAATAATAAAGGCAGAGGCAGGATTTGGAAGTAGAAGTTTGCATACTCACTTTTATATTTGGAAGATTACAAATATAAAGATCCCAGAATTGGCTGAGAGCAGATATTAGGACCATTGAAATACAGACTACAAGGGGGCAGAGGATATAAGCATTACAGAAGAAAATCAGACAGAAGGAACTGTAGGTTAGAGATCTTCTGTGTCAATAATAGATACAAATATTAAGTTAAACTCAATTTTTTTTTTTTTTTTTGAGACGGAGTTTCGCTCTTGTTACCCAGGCTGGCGTGCAATGGCACGATCTCGGCTCACCGCAACCTCCGCCTCCTGGGTTCAGGCAATTCTCCTGCCTCAGCCTCCTGAGTAGCTGAGATTACAGGCACGTGCCACCATGCCCAGCTAATTTTTTGTATTTTTAGTAGAGACGGGGTTTCACCATGTTGACCAGGATGGTCTCGATCTCTTGACCTCGTGATCCACCCGCCTCGGCCTCCCAAAGTGCTGGGATTACAGGCTTGAGCCACCGCGCCCGGCTAAACTCAATTTTTAAATACAAATCTTATATAAGGAGTAAATGTAATAAAATATGTAAATTTTGTACTATGTCATGGACACTACTGAAATGAAGAAATGGAAAGATTATTGACTACGCCAATGTTCTCAAGAAGGAGGATTTAGATGACAGAAGTGCCAGAAAGTTGGCTCCCATTCACTTAGTAAATACTCAGCACCATCAATGGGCTATGTGTTGCTCTACCTTCTATATCATATGCCATGATGGTGCATGAAACACAGCTGCTGACCTTCCAGAACTGGCATTCTAGTGAGAGGAGACAGACCTGCATGCCCAGGACCTAAATGCCTTTGCGAGAATAGTGTTACCAACTTAAGCTACATAACACGTGAGCTACAAGACCTCACGGGCTAGACAAAAGCATCTATCATTTGAAATTACATTCAGAAATAAACGATGTTGAAATCATCCTCATAAAATTAATAAAACAAAATTGCTCAGTATTTAATAAAAGCATACGCTTTAAACAGAAGTATAACTAAGCATTAACCAGTTTCCCCTACAGCCCATCTCCTTACAGCCGCTTACTGCTTAGAAGTCCCATTGCCTCTGTCACAAGGTCCTAACTTCTATAGACAACATCTTTAACATTAAAAAAAAAACTCAAGATTCCCATTTGAGATATTTTCTAGATCCTGATTCTACCAGGCCCACTGACACCAGCCAGTCTGCGAACTCCCTCCAAGGAACTGACTCAGTACAAGAATGCAGTTTCTACATCCTTATGATTTTCTCTCCCATGCCCTAACCAATCAGCAACCCCCAGTTCTTCAGCCCACCATCAACCAAAATTCCCTTTAAAATCCCAGCCCAAAACTTCTCAAGGAGGCAGATTTGAGATCCCCTGGTGCCTCTTTGTTTGGCTGCCATACAATTACTAAGCTCTTTCTCTGCTGCAACTCCTGCTGTCTCAGTGTAGTGGTCTGTTACCATGCAAGGGCGCAAAACTGGTGGTCCTGGTACGAAACTGATGGTCTTGTAACAATCATGACATCACTGAAAACAATCTCAGGTATCCAGGGCACATAGAAGAACTAACAACCAATTGTTAACAGTAGATGTTCTTAGGGCAAGGGGACTGGAGAAGGAAAAAGATTCCACAAATAAAGAAAGAAGGCTGGGCTGGGCATAATGGCTCATGCCTATAATTCCAGCATTTTGAGAGGCCAAGGTGGGAGGATCACTTGAAGCCAGGAGTTTGAGACCAGCCTGGACAACAAAGCAAGAAACCATCTCTACAAAAAATTTAAAAAGTCAGCCAGGCATGATGGTGCATGCCTGTAGTTCCAGCTACTCAGGAGGCTGAGGCAGGAAAATCGCTTGAGCCCAGGAACTCAAGGCTGCAGTGAGTTAAGATTGCACCCCTGCACTCCAGCCTAGGTGGCAGAGCAAGACCCTGTCTCAAATAAATAAAGTTGTAGGTACATGGCTCATTTCTGCCTTGAATTAGTGAAGAGGTGCTGACTACTCCAGTGCCACTCCCCGTGGAAGCCAGAAAACTGTCAGGCTGCAGAAGGTGTGATCACACAATCACAACACCTTGTTGAAGTCACTATTTCATGTCCTCTGATGTCCATCTTTTCTCCCTGGCATTTTCCATAACCAAGAGCAGCAACTACATTTGACTTCCCAGAAGCTGCAGTAGAGGCAGTGGCATGGGAGGAAGGAGCATGTACAAATGAAAGGGTCAAAAGGCAGGAAAATGTACTTAGAGCACAACGTTTCTTGAAGAAAAATGTCTCAGTTTATTGTTTAAAGAAACTTATGCAAATGATATGCAAATTTGCAAAAAGTAATGCTAATCCTTGCATAGTGTGCTTACTTTCATACCCTTGACTCTGACCTTTAAAAGGTCCAGAGCTGCAAGGCTGTGGACCACAGGACCTTGGCCATTGCCTGCTACCTGACCAGAGTCAGTGGTCAAGAAGTATAAAAGGATGAGCAGGGCTAAAAGGTGATGGATATGGAACATTGTTCTGCCTGAGAACACAGGATGGCATATTCAGGATGGGAGAAAAAGGGGTAACTTAGAGTCTGAAAGGCAAAACATTGATTTTGTTTTGATCCATTCTATGCCACTTAGATGTCAAGTCTTAAAGAACAAACCAGAGACTATAAAAGCACTGGCTGGAGCAGGTTATGAGTATCTAAGATATTATCTGGAAAAACAATGTATAAATTTATGAATTTATATTATGTTATTTTCCTAAGTCTTTATCCCTTGGATTATAAATATTTTCATATATAGGTTTTATCTGAGCATATTTCCCGGCTGTATCATACAAGATACGGGATTCTAACACACTGACTTTCTTAGAAGATATTAAAAGACAAGTAATTAGCCAGAAAAATAACTGGCTTCTTGATTAAGCTCTCTCTCAATGAAAGGTATCATTACTGAAATACCAGAAAAAAACTTTAAAAGCTTACAAAATAGCTTCTCCTCCATCAATGTTGACATGACATTGTATTTCCGTCCTATTCATATAAGGCTCAAAAACTCCTTTTGGGCTGACAGGTGGCTTTCTCATGGCCTGTGTTTATCCAGTCTGTTCAGAGGTTACAGAAGTCCTTTGGTTATTTACCGGCAAGTTGCCATTCTCCACATTTTGCTGCAAAAAGCACACACTTTCTCGACTGGAAAGAGACACAGGGGACCCCAGCTATGGCACAGAGCTGTGCTAAATACCAAGCTTGAACTGTGTGAGCCTACATGCACTTCCTGAATGAGTCTAGGGAAGCTGTAACATACTACCCATCCATTCAGAGCAACTCTCTGAATGACATGACTCTGCCTTTAATAACACCTGCTTATCCTACTCATCCAGCACTCCCAATGATGCTGACAATCAAATTGCAAAGCTGAGTGACAGGCTGAAACCTCAAAGGGAACCCAGCATCTAGTTAAAAACTTCCCAAGGTCAGCAGGGAGTGTTCCTGAGCCCAGCACCAGACAGGAACAAAGGCCCTGTGGCAACAGCAGCTGAAATGACATCCATCATCATACAAAGATAAAGAGTGTCTAACTCCAACCAGAGGGCACTTGCAAATATCCAGGGCTGTCCTGACACTTTGATAGATGGCCACCTCCTTTAATTAGCTCCTCCTGTCTCTGGAGGTTTCCAAAGAACTGATTGCTTGCTCCCACCTCCCCTTTCCCTGCCACCATTTGCCTTCCTGGGTGGACAGGACTGGAGCAGGCACTGAGCCTCACCAGCCTCTTTCACTGTGTGCCCACCCACCACCACGTGACTCTCCATCCTCCGGCATGAAGCTACCACACTGACCTTTCGCAGAAGGAAGCAGATGCGCTCGATGTTCCTCAGCCGCTCCCTCTATCAGGATGCACAAGAAAGAAACGAGAGGGCAGGTTAGGGGTTCTGCTAAAACAGCATGAGAAGGCCCCGCAATCAGCCCCAATAGTGGACGGAATCCACCACAGACCCCTGCTAGGCACATGGCCAGCATGCTTCCACCCAATGACTTTTTCTAATAGAGTTTCTGACTTTCTTCCCTCTAACCTGTCGTGGTCATTTGCTCTTAACAGAACTCTCCCAGCAAACAGTATGGCCCTATCTTCCCTCTCAGTCCAGCACAGATTTCTCTTCTTTTATCTACAGTCAAGTCTCTCTCAGCTTCCATGTACACATAAGGTGGTCAAACTGCAGAATGGTACCTCATGTTCATGGAATATCCTAAAGCCTGCAGCTGGCCCTCCCAGGAGGACTTCCCACTTGGGTCTCAAAAGAGCGTATGTGCCCTCATTAGTATCTAACATAGACAAGTTCTCTGCCTGCTGGTTTTGTTTTTCTAAAGTGAGTCTATTGGAGGAAGCAAGCTCCCACTAAATTAGACACCAGTGATGTCCCCAGGCTAAGGCTTTTTAAGAAGTTCAAGTCCATCAAGGCCTGGCTCACTGCCAAGGGAAGGCAAGATGATGGCCTGTGGCTGGGCAGGTGATGACGCCCACAACACGCACTCAACGCCGTTGCCTCCCTTTTCCTTCCGTGACTTTAACGATTTGCAAAGCCACACTGAACACAGCTGTGGCATCGCCCAGTGCTTCATTACTGAGGCAATTTGGTTGCTGTAGATGGAATGGTAATGAGATTCCCTGTGAATCCAGAAAGGACAGGTGGCTTGGACACTTCATTTCCCTAATTAAATCATAAATATAGTGATTCCTGTGCCTCCTGTAACCCTAGAGGAAGGAGCCCACGTCGGGACATATTAGTGTCCACATGGCTAGCAAGACACATTGCATACTCCTCACACGTGTGCACACACAAGCACACACACTTATGTGCACGCATGAATGAAAGGAGATGCTGGAAGACACACACTAGCTCCTTCTCCAGGAGGCCAGAGCCCCTGAAAGACAATATCTACCATTAACTTAAAGTAATCCTGAATGCCCAGCTGGTAAAAGGAAGGGAAAACATGAGAAATGAGGAGAAAAACAGAGCATTCCTCCTCCTCTCCATCCCAGAGGGTCCAACAATATTAGGAGCTTCAGGGCATCTTAAATGCAAATGGGTCTCATGCCCTCATTGAGAGACGCATCATACGGATCAGCAATTATTTGTGACACACAAGTCCTTCCAGGGCTGGAGTCACCAATCAGTGAAGCAGCTTTCTTAAGCCACCTGAGTCTGAAATGCTGCTCTGGGGGCTCTACAGAGGTCTAAGAGCTTGCAGGAGAGTTAAATGAGGCATCCAGAGCATTTAACTTCCTGCCAGGGAGTAACATCATAAAAGCAGGGAAAACGTGTCTAGCACTTTTCCATTTAGGGTTCTTACTTTTGTTTTTGTTTTAAATACGAGACAAGAGTCTTTTCCCCAGGGGCACCTAGAGTCTTCACTCTGTCCATGAGTGTCACAGGGCCCAGGCTCCTTAATTAATCGTTCACTAATTAGAACTGTGCCTTTAACAATAGGATTTAAAAAAGAGAATTGAGATTTAATTTCTACGCCACCATTTCAATATTCATCCAATGTTTAATCAACAAATATCTATGGGGCACCTACTATGTGCAAACACTATTCCTGCACTGGCCTTTCACAGAAGCTCCCTAGAGAGCATATACTGTCCTGATTTTCTTTATTCTGTCTAATTTTCCTTATTCTTCACCAAGGTGAGCTGGAAAAGATTCCGCAAAAAATATTTCATGGTTTCACCAATCACATGCAACCCAGCATGGAATCTGCATGATACAATTTAGCGGCAGGACAAATTCCTTCCCTCGCATTTGCCCTGGACTCATACAAGAAAGCTTTGGGTGTCTAAGTGAGCTGCCTATTAATTTCAGCCCAAACAGTTAGAAGGAAGGAAAGTAAGCTCTTGTCTTCCCTGGCATTTCTACATAAAAGTATCTCTCTCTAAGACTAGAGCCGCTCACTGCACCTGGTAGATATTGACAGGCCAGGTGTGTACTGTTGGTGCCAAACACAAAAACATCCAGAAAGACATGAGACCCAGAGTGAAATCTTTCAGGCCCGACAGATCCAAATTATCCCACGTGCAGGTGAGGCTGGTAGGTGGAAGCAAAATAGATTTTGATATTTGTAAGTTCATGAAATACAGAAAGTTTTCAAGTAGATCTTGCAGGTTCTTTAAACTTGCATCAAAACTTGCTTTGAAAGAGTCTGGCTCTATTTCACGGAATCAAAAAATACACCAAAGCTGACCTCAGATATTATAAAATCAGGTCTCTTGAAGAGACAACAAAGGGGAGGAGGTAAGATGGCAGGCTTTGGAGACTGGCAAACCTGGGTTCAAGTCCTGGCTTCACCACTCATGAGCTCTGAATCCCTGCACAAAAGAGTTCATTTTGTGGCTTATAAATTGGGTTAATGATGCCTGTCTCACAGCATTATTGTGAGGATTACAGATTATGTATAGGAAGTTCCTAGCACATAGTAAAAACTCAAAACAATTACAACTCCAGTAACAGTCCTCCATTTTCTAGAAGGGGACCCTGAAGTCTGGTTCTTCATATGGCCTTTTGGTACCTCCCTAAAAGCATATCCTTTATACATGGGGCCTGCAGCGAAGGAGAAAAGACCTCTTTGTCCCTGCTACTCAAGAACCACGCCATAAACATTCCAGGCTAAGATGGTACCATGATAGCAGAACCTGTTGTTCTCTCTACAACTTCTGTCTGAAAAGGTCAACAAAGCTACTCAAAGAGGCAAAAATTTGCCTTTGCGCTGGAAACCGTGGCCTGGAAGGAACTTCAGCTACACATAGAACCGGTGGATTTAGATTGAGAAACACACTTGAATGAACTGTGTGTGCACTACCCTTTGAACTCAGAAGTGCTGGACTGGAGTAAGTGTGGAAAAGGCTCTGTCCACACACAGGGTTGGTCCCTGGCTCTGGGACATGGACTGCACTGACCAGAGAAACAAACACCCAAAACACCCACACCCACCCAGCATCCATTCAGAAGCTCCCAGTCAGAGGCACAGCCAGGGCACAGGAGAAGGGTGGCATGTAGGGCCCGCCAAGCCAGACAAGCAGGAAGATGCCAGGAGCCACGCATGCTGGGGCAGGTAGCCTTTCACATCCTGAACCCAGACCAGAGCAATCAGGCTGCACCAAATTCTCCAGGCAGAGGTGAGCTGACCTCAGGCCCACAGAACCACCTGAGATGAATGCTTGTGGGTGATAGATATGGGGGCAGGGGCTTTGTGCATCAACCCGCCCTCCATATCTCCATCTGAGAAACCTGGTGCCCAAGTGGAGCATGCAGCACGGGACATCCATTCATGATGCTCATGTGCGTGTAAGCACACTGGCCAACACGAAGCCTCTTTCCTTGTTTAAGGATGATTAATCAAAATACATGAGCACCAGGCTTTGAGGACTCAAGAGCCACAGCACAGTAGACAATTTCCCTGGTTTACTGGGACAGTCACACCTGATTTGCAAGAGACCTCAGCACACTTCAGGTGTGAGAAGGCTCCTTCACAACCTTGAGCCAGGTAGGGAGGCACAGTGGAACAAGAATGTTCTTTATGCACTCAAATCATTCACATTCTCACCCTCTTTCCCAAGCCCTGGGTAGCCTGAGGTGACAGCACCTTCCCGTCCCCAGTATCCACCACTTACCGCATGAACAGGGTTGCACTGGTCTATAGGGCTCTTAAAATCCGTCCTTAACTCATCAAAGGCAATTATCTGAAACAGAATACAGAGATGTGAGGTGTTAGTGCACATGAGTCGGTACACCATGTCCGAAGCCTCTGTGGATTTGCTTCCAAATAACACAGGAAAGAGAAAGAGGCTGTAGACGGCACGAGATTGGCCCGCAGCTGGTGGCTGCTGACGCTGCAATAAGCACAGGGGGTTGATTATATTCTTCTGTCTACTGTGTATGCTTAAAGTTGTCCTCAGTAAGGTTGTTTGAGTATTCTGTGCTTTACAAAGATGTAGAGAAAATCTACTGTGCTGAGGGCATGTTGGGATTTAGATAAAAGCACAAAAAATTTAAAACTTCAAACCACTACTTTTAGCTCCATTCCTTCTAGGAAGGGCTATTTATTTTTTATTTGTGGGTATGTGGGCAGAAAGGGTGATTAGAAGTAAAACAGACAGAAGTCAGGTGAGAGGGAAAAGAGAAAGTTACAGAAATAACCAATCTCTAGATGTCCACAAGCCTGGACAGGCGGCTCTGGGCAGTCAGTGCTTCACAGCACAGTCCTTTGAACTTCGGTCCTAAGTTCATTTTGGACGAAGACTCAGAACTCCCCAGAGAGCAAGCTTCCCCATAAGCCTGGAGGAAAGAATGTTGGAGAGGCCTACTCCAGTCCCAGAATGAGGCATGGCCCATCCACAGAAAGACCTAACTCTGAAGATTCACAAGCCCACATTCTAACTGCAGCTACCTGGTCTACTGCAGGAAGAATAAATAATAGAACAAGGTGGGATTTGGCCAGGGGAGTGTCCTTTCTTATGGTGTGGAAGCCTTGGGTGCTCACAGTGAAGTCTCTCCTATTGAAAATAAACACATGGCCAGGCACGGTGGCTCACGCCTGTAATCCCAGCACTTTCAGAGGCCGAGGCGAGTAGATCACCTGAAGTCAGGAATTTGAGAGGAGCCTGGCCAACATAGTGAAACGCTGTCTCTACTAAAAACACAAAAATTAGCTAGGTTTAGTGGAATATACCTGTAATCCCTGCTACTCAAGAAGCTGAGGCAGGAGAATCGCCTGAACCCGGGAAGTGGAGGTTGCAGTGAACTGAGATCGAGCCACTGCACTCCGGCCTGGGTGACAGAGTGAGACTCTGAGAAGACAGACAGACAGAGGAAAGAAAGAAGAGAAAGAGAAAAAGAGAAAGAGAAAGAAAGAGAGGGGAGGAAGGGAGGGGAAGGGGAAGGGGGAGGGGAAGGAAAAAGAAAGAAAAAGAGAAAGAGAAACAGAAAGAAAGAAAATAAACAGACATAAGCAACTCCCCAGGAAGGCACATCCCAGGGGTCCCTGAACACTTGGCAGAATTGCTGAAGCAAGCTTCCCACCCCGGAATGTCCCCAATCCAGCAACATGGGGCTGAGAGTAAGCACCAAGTCAGAGAAAACAACTTCCCTCCACAAAGCAAGTAGAATTTTAGAGCAGTCATATGTCATCCTGATTTCAATCCTCCTACAGAATTTGAAGAAAAATTCAGTATAACTTATATTAAACCAACACAGTTTTATATCATCCCTTGCCAGATAGTTAATTATCCAGCCTGTAATTAAACTCTTTAATTACAAGAAACTCACCACTTACTGAGGATCCTCATTCCATTTCTACCTCTAATTAATCATTGCTTTCCATATTAAACTAATATATGACTCCCTGAAGCTTCCACCCACAGCCTAAGCCAGGGTCAGCAAACTACAGCCTAAAGGCCAAATCCGGCCTGCTACCCATTTTTGTTCAACCTGTGAGCTAAGAATATTTTGTTGGTGGTGTTTTGGAAACAGAGTCTCATTCTGTCAGCCAGGCTAGAATGCAGTGGCACGATACTGACTCACTGCAACCTCTGTCTCCTCGGCGCAAGCGATTCTCCTGCCTCAGCCTCCCAAGTAGCTGAGATTACAGGTGTGTGTCACCACGCCTGGCTAATTTTTGTATTTTTAGTAAAGATGGGGTTTCATGTTTTTGACATTTTTTAAAAACAGCTGAAATAAACCAAAAGGAGAATATTTTGTGGCATGTGAAAATTATACTAAAATTCAAGTTTCAGTATCCATAGATAAAGGTTCACTGGACTATAGTAGCATTCATTCTTTTATCTATACTGCTTTTGCACAATGGCAGGGTTGAGTAGTAGTTACAGGCCAAAATATTTACTATTTTGCCTTTTGTAGAAAAAAATCTGCTGACCCAAGCCTATTCTTTCATTTGCCCTCTAGAGCTATCCTCTCCAATATGATAGCCACTAGCCACATGTAGCTATTAAAGCTTATTTTAATTAATTAAATTAAAAATTCAGTTCATAGACACATTTTAGTTGTTCAACAACCCTATCTATCTAGTAGCTATTACACGGCACAGGTATGAAACATCCCCATCACCACAGAAAGTTCTACCAGAAAGCACTGCTTTAGAAGCACATAGGATGGGTCAAATCCCTCTTCCACAAAGAACCCCTTTAAGTACTGTCAGCTACAGTGACCTCAGCAAATCTTTCTTCAAGTTAAATCTCTCCAACCATTGTTTACACAAACTGACACTAAGCTGCCTCATCATCCTGATTGTCCACCACTGATGTTTCAGGTTCTAAATGTCCATTCTCAAATGTGACTGTCAGTATTAAACACTAGATTCAAGGTGAGGGTGGCTGGCACAGACAGTAAGAATGTCACTCACCACCTCTGTTCTATAGTCTATGCTTCTTTTAATCCAGCCTGATTGCATTAACTTTTTTGTGGCCATATCACATTTCTGGCTTTATACTAAATTTGCATTCCCTAAAAACCCTAGGTCTTTTTTCATGTGCTTCAGTTAAACTCAGACCACCTCATTCTGCACAAGTATTGTTGGGTTTAGAGGCCTAAGAGCAGGAACTAATCTTTATCCTGATTAATTCCTCCCTATTCAATCTGGTCTATTGGTCCCATCTTTTGAGACATTGGCCTATCTCCCAACTACTATGCAAATCCTAATAAACACAATATCCTCAATACCCACATCTGCATTCACTCTGATACAAATGTAAACCAAGCAGGACCAAGGACAGAGCTCTGAGCCCACCATTCCTAGCTCCTGTGAGGCTGACATTGGTTTTCCTGGCACCTGTTATCTATCTAGTTATAAAGACAGTTCACCACATTTTGATCCAGTCACTGACAGCAAGTATCTGGACAGCTGCAGAACTCCACAGCTGTTAGTGCACCAAGTACAGGACCCCGGCAAAGAGGCTGGGTGCCCATGGAGGAAAGGGAGCCAAGCCTCCCCACAGTAGACAACCCCCATCCCCAGTCCTGCCCCAGGGCCTGTGCCCCCGTCGTCTGAGTGCAGGGAGGTGGGTCTGGACTACACAGGTAGCTGGAGCTTGAAGTAGGAGAGAGGAGTCAACGGGGAGCTGGAGCTGTTCAGCCAGGCTGAGAGCCAGTAACCCTGCCTCAGCCCACCTCAGCGCCTCGCCTGGCGCAGACGAAGGAGGCCTGAAGAGTGGCTTATGCCTTTGAGCTCCATGAGATACGAGGTCCTTCATGAGCATTTTCTGATGAAGCAATGGCAGTGCATCCATGAGGCAGGAGGCTTTCAGCCTCCCTGTCCCCAGTATCTACTCACCAATGTATCTATCCATTCACCTAACATTCAGCCAGCAACCTTTATACACAGGCACTGGGCTAACCACTGCAGACACAAAAATCAACAAGACTGGTGCCTGTGCTCACCAAGTTCCTAGTCTAGGGGGGGAGACCGCCATGAGACAGACCACTGAGCTACAGTGTGATGAGGGCTACCAAGGCGATTGTAACAACAGCTATCAGGTATTGCCTGCTCACCATGTCAGGTGCTGGGCTACATGCTGCACATGCTTTTTATCATTTAATCCTTTGACCACCCAAAGGATTAAATGGGACCAATAATAGTACCTACATCACTATTATTGGTCCCATTTCAGAGATGAAGAAACTGAGGCCCAAAGTAGTTAAGTTACTTGCCCAAGATCACTCTTTGGTGCCAAGATCCAAGCCAAGGCCTGCCTAACACTAAAACCTGAGCAATACCATTACATTCTTCTGCCTCCAAGTACATACAGAGAAAAGTAAATAAGGAGTCAGAAGACATACAGAAGAATGAACAGCTGTCCCCATGGAACCAAAGCAAAGCTTCCCTGAGGAGGCAGGGTTTCGGCTCCCTGCCGCCCAGCACTAATTCATAAATAGACTCCCAGTCCCAGCCTCCTGACCTGTCTGAGGATAGAAGCCACAGGCCCCACGGTGTAGTCTCATCTTTTGAGTGCAGCAGACTTCTACCTAGTGCCAAGCCTTAACATCAGCAATGGACTGAGTGTGATAACCACGATGATGTAAGGACAGGCAGATGAGCAGCCTGCACTGTTTAATTCAGCTGAATGCACAGACCGGCCCGTGTATGTGTCCTACAAGGCTCCATTGCACTCTGAGGCCCAGCCACTGACAATACAGGTGTAACTGCTGCACTTTACCTGAACTTTAATGCTAAACCAACAAAAAGATCACTTCATTTCTCACTCCCGTCTTTAAAACATTTTTACATTTAATGCAGTAAAATTCACTCTTTTTGGTGAAAAGTTCTGTGAATTTTGACAAATGCAGTCATGTGATTACCTCCACAATCAAGACACACAACAGTTCTATCACCCCCAAAATCCCCTTCTGCAATGCGCCCCCCCCACCATGTCTCACCCCTGCCCCTGCCCCTGCCCAGCAACCACTAATCTGTTCTCCATCCTTCTAGTTTTGCCTTCTCCAGAAAGTCACATAAATGGAATCATGGAATATGTAGGCTTCTGAGCCTGCTTTCTTTTGTAAGCATAAGTAAATAACACTATGTGTTTAAGTTTAACCCACACTGTTGCCTGTATCAACGGTTTGTTCCTTTTTATTGCCGCGTAGTACTCCATTGTACAGACGAACTACATCTGTACAATGGAGGTTTATTTATCTGCCTCTTAAAGGACATTTGGGTTGTTTCCAG